GAGGATCAAAAAAAAAAAGGAAGACAAATCATATTACAAAATGGCTTCCTGTATCGTGAATGCGGTTTAAGTGCATTGAATTATTTTCGTGTTTAAAATAGGATAATTTATTAAACTCGTATACTGTAGGTTCGTAAACATTTTTTAAAATATTTAATTATATAATTATAATTTAATATATTTCGTGTACATTGTTTTTCTAATATATTTTATCTGGTAAGCCTTGTTAGGCCTGTTTCAGATGGTCAAATTAAAAAAAAAATTTTTTTGTGTGTCAGTTTTAATTAATATTCTCAATCGATTATTCTGTAATACGTACTTTATAACTTGTTAACTTTTAATAAAAAGTATTTTTAAAGAATTTTTTATGTGATAAAAATAATTATTCTTGAATCGAAATAATTGTGTCACTATCCCAGTTTACCTTTCACTTACGTATGACGGCATAAGGGTTAATTATGATGTCATATATAATTCATAATTAACACTTGCAACGGTATTTTTAAATATATTCAATTCATATTATGTATTTTAAAGTTTCATAAATTTAGATTTATTATAAAAACATCTTAAAAAATATGTTTAATTTTATTTTATCATTTCATTTTCATTTTCCATATATGTCTTTCAGTTATATATATATAACTGAACATGTATAGTATATATACATGTTTATATATTGCTTTACATACCATATGTTAATTAATATAAAGCAATATAAAGTTTATTCAAATTAATAACTTAAGAATATAAATATGTACAGTATGCAAACAAATGCATATGCATATACAAATATTATTGGATGAAATTGCCTTGGTAGTAAAATAGGAGTGTTATTTATTACTTTTTCTACAATCGAAGAATTTTAAGAGAAAACAGTATGAAGAAAAACGACCAGAGGTTATTTTAAAGAAACTCGATGTAGACTGTTGGCGGAAATATATGTCCGTATAATGTTTCTTGGTTGGTTATGGATGATAATTTCGTCTTTCTTAATTCTTAATTAATTTCATCTGATAATATAAATTCTTAAATAAATGAATTTTGTGAAATTTTCAAAAATAGAATTAAGTCAATTGAACAGAAGAATTTAATGATTGAAATGTCAAATGCTAATTTACTGAATATTAGAAAAGAAGAATTTGACCTAGATCTTTGGGTTTGGGATTTTATAGAAGTAAAATGGACCTTATTATACTACTGACTCTATGTAGCAAGAGGTTGGCATTCTCTAATTTAGATATCATGTTTCTTCAGAACTGTCATTTTTTTCCCATTTAGTAATAAGCAGAAAATTAGTATATTAGCTTTATTTTTGTTGCAATTTTTTGCAGTAATTTCCAAATAAATGTTACCAATTACAATTTTTCCTATCAACAACTAATATTTTCTATGTCAACAACCACATTGACACTGGGATGTGTTAAAAAATCATACTCCTAGAACCTATTTCTGGTGTGACAAAAAAAACAAACGAAAAAATTCACCACAAACGCTTTCAAACTGCTGTGAGCTCTTCCTCAGATAAAGAAATTGACAATATATATACTGTAGAAATTTAATTTTCGGTAAAACAATTGTTCTGAAGTAGAATTACCCTATAGATCACTAAAATATTACCGTGAACCCCAATTTGATACTTTTTCTGTGGTCCCCTAGTAATGTTACATGAATCCCGGTTGAGAACCACTGATCTAAACAATCATTAATTCTGGAAGAAAAACTATTCACCAGGTCAAATATTCAATCAGCAAAAATGGTAGCTCACTCATCCTATACTCTCTTAGTTGTGATAAATTTTTTGGATATGGACGGAAGAAAATGCTATCTTAAATCTGTGCCCAAAGATGTTCTATAGCAGTGTTTCCTAACTGCTGGTCTGTGAAAAAAATTTCACCTGTCTATAGAAAAATATTTGACCTTATTGATGCTGGCACAGTTGATTAAGGCTGACATTTAAATAGTAATCTAGAGCTACTATATGTACTTTATGTTACTAACCATAGATAAACATTTACAAGTGTAATAAATAAGTATAATTCATAGTTGCATATGATTACTGATTCATGTAAAATTATTCATAATTTTACTTTTGTGATGAGAAAAAGTTGAGAAATACTATTCTATAGGATTTAAATTAGGCAAGTTGCCTCGTCGTTCTTTCTACAAATTGATATCTTGTTTGTAGTCTAGATAGAGAAGTAACATTGCACCATCTTGCATGAATACTGCAAGCTCAATACAAAGGCAAAATGGCATTTTAGTAGTAGATATCATTTATAGTCTATTTTTCTGGCACAACATGCAAGTCTGTCGTACTATAACATAAAATTCCTGAAGCTATCATGAACTGCAGAGGAATTTTGGACAAGTAATGAGAACAATTTTTTTTCAAGATGTAGTACAGATCTCATGTTTTGCCTGTTATGCTTTAAATGAAGTTCTATTGTACTCTAATCAGTAAAAAAAAAGTGTGGCTTTGAACAATTTGTCCTTCTGGAGTAACCTCAGCATACCTCACCTTTTTTAGTCTTGTGCACAATAATAATTTAACTAGTCTATCAGCAATGTCTTTTCTCAATTAGCAACGATTTGATGCTCAGTTTGCTTTGCAGGCAATAGATTCTCATGGTGTTAATTTGATATGGTATCTAATTGTGGTAATACCAACTATTTTTCCTTTTGTCAAGTAATCAGGAGAGTTCATTTTCTTTATAATAAAGTATATACCACTGACTTTATCTTCCATTATTTCTCAGATATATTTTTATTTCTGTAAAAT